GTTCCACAAGAGAGGAGCTTAATAACTGAAAGCTCTGCCTCCCATTCTACTTTTAGAAACTTGAACCACAAGTAAACCTGCAGTCTGAGAGTGAAGTGCTCTGTTAGGAAAGTATGAAACAATAAGATGTTTAATATATGATGGAGCTTGGTTGTTAAGAGCTTTGTATGTTAGGAGTAATATTTTAAATTTTCTTCTGAATTTGACAGGGAGCCACTGGAGAGAAGCTAAAACTGGAGAAATATGATCTCTACTTCCAACTCTCAGTAAAACTCTAGCAGCAGCATTTTGGATCAACTGAAGACTTCTTAAAGAGTTTTTTGGACCCAGATAATAACAGTAGTCCAGCCTAGATGTGATAAATGCATGGATCCTGTGACATGCCTAAATTTGAATATACAAATAGATGCAAATCTGTCCTGTACATATGTGGTTCATCTCTGCACCATCAGAAATGATGAATAGATGAATAAAAAGGAGTTTAGTGGAACRTGAGTCAGAGATGCTCCTGAACATTAGTGGAACATGAAAACACCATGAAGGGTAACATTAGCTACGTTTACATGGACATAATTAATCGGATTAAACGGCCATTTGGAATAAAAATGCGTCAGATAAACACTCCATTCAGATTGTTCTGACCCGATTCAGCGCGATCCGAATGAATTTGTAATCTGAATGAGAGGGGTGGGTTATGCCGATTGATAATCCGAACAGCGTGCATGATCATTTTATTCTGATTGTGGAAAACTGACCTGACTGTGCATGTCTGCTGAACTGGTTCCTGTTATTTTGTGGAGGGAGGGAGTTTCCAGCAGCACAGAACTTTTCTGCGCCGCTTCGCAAAAAAATAAAAAAAAGTCCATCCATCACCTGTAGCTTAACCAGGGAGTAACGTCTCCACCATTATTAAAACCTGTCCAAACCTGTTTAGCTGGTTTTTAAAAATCATAGAAGTTCTGTGTTTTATAATCCTTTCACCCTGAAAAACAAATCAAYCTGAGTTTGAGTGGACGAGAACTGAGGAGGAGCCAACAGCACACTCAGCCGATYAAAAACAACCAGCTATAAACAAACACCACATTCTGCAACAATAAAACAGCTAAAGACTCAAATTAAATCAAAACTTTTAATTAGAAAGTTGAAAAAACGGCAGTAGGTACAGAGTTTCTATTTGCAACAGCAGAGATGATGAAACAGAKTCTAACTAAGCCAGGCGACTGCAGTTTTCACAGAAAGATTAATAAAAAAACGTACATTTTGAAATAAATAAATTAAAAACATACTTATCCATCAAATAATGTCATTTCTCTCATCTATGTTATTATTGCTGGTATATATTACCTTTTAAATGCGTTATGATCCAGGAACAGACACGCTTCCTGGCTGTGAAACAATATCAACTTGGTCAATAAAATCGTTTGGAACATGGTGATGCATGAGTTAAGCAGTCAGCAAACACAGACATGAACTTTTTTCTTCTTTCTTCTGAAAACACTATGGTGAGCTGAACAGAACAGATGGATGGATGGATGCAGTTCTTCATCTACTGAACCAGAGAAACAACGAGCGGGAGTGAGGAGCTGCTGATCCGGAGCTCGGCCATGCGTCTYACAGTCTGTACACTCAGTCCACACTTCAGCGTGTCTGTGGAAACGTGAACAATCTAGATTCTTACAGTGGCTTTTGGCTTCGTGGGTTTTGAAATCCTGAGGAGAAGAGATCAGTCCGTCCTTCCAGCTGAACAGCAGAGGGGTCAGCTGCAGTGAAGCAGAGCCGGTGGTCTCGACGGGAGCGTCGGTCCTCTCTCTCCTTGGCTGCCTCAGCCCTGGCTGCCGCAGGACGACAGGCTGTCGTACAGAGAGTCGCTCAGAGACTCGGGGGTCTCCAGGACCTGGGGGCGGCTCGGGGACAGCGCCTCCTCCGGTCGCTCCCTGAGCAGCTCCAGCCCGGCCTCCCGGCTCATCTCGGGCACGCTGGGGGTCCGCATTTTCCCCCTACGGCTCAGCCCCGACTGGGCCGGCACGGGCAGGCTTCCCGGGTCCACCATCCGACTGGAGGAGGGGCCACCGGCCTTCATGTTCTGAGGGATGGAAACATTTCAGGTCACTTATGTGATGCCTTCAGGTGCAGGAGAAGTGGGTCAGAGAAACCATTAATCTGTGAAGTTTTAATAATTCAAGTGAAGAAATGCTGCATCTACAGTAAGATGTGTTTTTAAAAAGTACGTCACTGTAACGATTCCTTCATGCTAGGCCTTTAAAGKGCCTGTGACATTACATTTTTGAGATAAACATGAATGCCTTTTTGGAAAGATAACATTGATAAAATGTTGCAAAACAAATTTCACACCTCTGAGATGAACGGTTGTTGAGATATTTGCATGTGAAGAAACAGGAAGTGATGTCAAAGGGGAATGTCTGCATGTAAACAGATCATTACTACAATGGCTAACAACACAGACTGTAGAGAAGAATCTGATGTTTCTTTACATTATTTTGAGTCTCTATAAAAGAGAAATGAAGAAGAGTTCAATCTTAAATGATATTGTTTCAATAAACAAAGATTTTATTTTATTAATGAGTTCCCCTTTGATGTCACTTCCTGTTTTACTTTGGCTGAGACAAATTC